CACAAGCAAACGCAAATCGTAACGGAAACCGGCTTTGCAGGTGATCGGGACCACAGTGTCTTCCGCTAGGACAATCGAAGGCAGTCCGGAAATGGGCATGCGTTTGTCCGGATGGATTTTGCCCCCTCCTTATGTACGGATAGAGAAAGTACACACAATTTGTACGTGGCTAAGTGCACTTGTACATTGCAAAAGAGAAAAGCATCCATTGGAGTACAGATGACAAATGCATCTGCGACGGACATTTGCGGTGAAGTAGCAGTTTTAGGTTGTACCAAAGAACGGGTAGACAATGTGTAGGGAACAGTAATGAATGCAGCTTCAAATGGTGGGCGAAAGTCTATGGTCCAAGTTCGATCATTGAACGGTGTAGTAAGTGTATCTGTGACGATGTCGATGAGAACATCGACCATGTTGACTACGTGAACGAGTGCAATGGTAGGTCGCTGGCGTATACTAATGCTATGAGGTCACACAATCACGGATATAGCAGCGATCCTGTGAGAAAGGTGGGAAGAACCGGAAACCGGGCTGGTCATGCACCCCAACAGGTGAGGAGGAACACACCTGTAACTGACTGCGGCAGGTCAATTCGTCTCTGCTTGCTAAGCTTCGTAAAGCAACATGCAGAGAGGTACACCTCGTGCCACTTACGATCTGTGATGAAAACACGCCGAAATAGCTCAACCGGTTGATGTAGTGGGATGCAGAAGGATCTATTGTTCAAGCAGATGACGAGGTTGAACTGCGTAGATGCAATGGTACCGGAAGTTAGATCCATCCTTCAAGACATGCGATACAAGTGTTGATATCTGCTCCGCACAGTTAGACTGCACGACACAGCGTACGATGAGTTCCATTAGGAAGGTAGCTGCATCACCGCCAAGTGGTATGTACGAAAATTGTCGGGTGACGTAGCGCGTAGTCCCGATATGTGTAGTCCAGCAACAATGTGGTAGCTACTTAGCACGAAGCTCTGCAGCGGCTGTTTGACGGCGCAGTATCTGCTGTCCTAAATCCACATTTAAACCGTAGCATCACCAGCATCATCATCAACAGTAGTACATCAGCCGTCACAAACAGCTGGCTAATGCGCAAAGATAAGGGGGCATCGGTGAGACAGATTCCTCAGCACGTAGCCGGTACGACGATTGAGACAAAACGTGCAAAGCGGAAATTTTCGACCGAATAATCTTTGTCGGGAAGCGCAATACGGTTGAGTTGATGTTATCGGTCATGATCGGCGTGTCTAAATGTGATGCAGTGAAGCACGCCGGCAAACTAGTAAAATTGGCAACAACGATCGTGATAATTCAGGAGAAACGCACTAGTACTACTGGTAGACGGAATAATCAACAGCCCGAAATAATAGGGAACTAATGCAAGAATAACACTGACGCAGAGAATGCGACAAATCTGACAACTAAGGCGGACGTCCAGGTAGACAACCAGAAGTTGGCCGATGAGTTAGTCTACACATACTTGCAATTACAAATCCGTATCACCTCGAGATTATGCCCAGTAGTGCATAGTACTGAGAGACAATACACACTGAGGTAGCCGATTTGGTCGCATGCATGTACGGCATATAACGAAGTCGACAACGGAGACGACTCCGGCCCAACAAGCACCCTATTGAGGCGGCAGAAAGTATATTGCAGAACACCAAGTGGGAAATCACAAGGTTGCAGTTATTAACGACATCATGTGTGGGAACCACATGATACGCACGACCAACCAGTTACTGTCTTCGCATACGATATCCAGTCTTCTGACAACAGCGTTAGCACTGAAGCGTCGTAAACGAGTCAGTTCAATGATAAATTTGCACCCCACCGATGGTACTAGTGACAAAGGCGTGGGAAACCCACACGGTCAATAACCTCATTCGTTTTACCACTGTCAGTGATATACAAACACGAAAACCGGTCGATCAAATCGAATATCGTGCGGATATTTTCGAACTCCCATACTCTCAAAGAGTCGACAGAGGACTACTACTTACTGCGCTCTTCGTGATAAAAGCATCATTTTAATCAAGAGCGATATGTGCACGTTTCCACACTATTGAATTCGGCGTCAGATCCACTCGCAGGCGACGCACGCACCGAAAGCCACTCCCTGGTGGTTGATGTATGCTGTCTTTCGGAAACACGCAAGATCGCAGCAGCAGCGTCGCAACGCACCTGCAGTTGTCAGATGAGAGAAGTATGCTACACACCTCCGGTGATATCGAGTCAAGGATTCGGTGAGTTCAATGTGTCGCGTTGCTTCCGACAAACGAACGGAGAGTTGTCCGTTCAGATAGATTCCAGTGATTTGTCAAATGTGAGTTGACCAATTTCGACCCTCAACTGAGCGTGAGATGCAAAGGGTGAAGGCTCATTCTCTAGCTGTGCATTCATCTGATAACAACAAGGAGAGCGCCAAAGATGATATCAATGGGTGACTCTCGTATTGACTGAATGACTGAAGTAAGGATGGTGTGAGTACTTATGGTGCTGTGGAACTGAATTCGGATGCCGTCATCGTGGATCACGGAACTTCCATCCGACCACCTAACTGCTGTGCACCAACCACAGTCGCTGCGCTGGCAGTTCAGCGTCTTGATATACACGAGTATGTGAAGTTACCTGGTCCACAGAGAGTAAGAAACCGCTGAGCACTATGAAACACAGGTGGCGAGTGTCAGTCAGTCGACTGTCGGTCGATCCGGACCATGACCCGAACGGTGCCCAATCTCCCGATCCCGTCTGAGCGTCTGACTTCGAGTTGGCTTGTCTGTCATGTAGGAATGCAGCACCTTCAATCCGATTTGCCCTGTCGGCTGTGCGCTACAGCGACCGGACGAGTTGCGCCCGGAAAAAAGAACCACTGCCAGAAGATTGCATGACATGCAGCGGATCAGCGCTCGTAGTCAGCTTGAAGACGAAACATATCGCCATAAGCTCAACAGTGGGTTGGACAAACGGAGCCCTGTTTGCCGTTTGTTCTCACGCTGATAAATAAAACTTGTTTCCGCTGGTTATTCCGTTCCTCCCCTTCGGAATGCAGAGCACATCGGGTTGGACAAGCAAGATTAGTCTTTCACCTACTCCGCCTCAATCGTTCCATCACCAGTTCCCATTCAGACAGAAGACCCACTGAGTGCTACTGGGAATCCATCCGGCATGTCCTCCTTCCTCCTTTGTCACTATCACAACGAGACTGGGCGTCAACGTGGTACGATGGTTTTCATACGTCCATGATGCGTTCAGCTACGTCGGGTAGCATTTGGCGTAACAGCGACGCCTGTATCCCATTTCAGAGGTTAAATTAGCTATGGAGACGGTGGGATATCAGCCTGGCACTGAAAGGCTGGGTGTATAACTTTGGGATAAGATCGATGTTACCTTGTGGACCAGAGACTTAGACAGTTCGCAGTGAAAAAAGGTCATCAGCAGTAAGCCGGTACGCAGTACCGACGCTGCGGTGCCGCGCAATCACCACTCGTCGCCCATGGGCTAAGGATACTGGGAGGGTTGCCTTGCCCCTACGCAGGCTCGAACTCGCGCCGTCAGAGTACAAGCTCGTTACCTTTAGGCTAAGAGTCGGGCAGTGTTCGCAGAGTAGGTGTGATATGCTCGGTCATATGTGGTCGCAGTAGCTCGCTGAGTAATGCCCCCATCTGGTGGGAACCCAGGGTGAGTAATGCTGATGTTGGTCTCTGGCAAGAAGCCTTCTGGTGCTGAATCTTAACCGCTTACTTTGGCTAGATCATGTCCTCCTGAAGTGAAATGAACATGGTTTGTCAACTCTCACCATAAATGGTGAAACTGGCTGTTAGCCTTCAACAACTTAAATCGTGCGTAAAATGCACGGCTGTTCATAATGGAGCATAATTCAGGGGTTGGCTATTCGTTGCGCAAGCGCTATTTTTCGGGGCCTGCCCACAGTGCTTTTTCATTCCCACTACGCAACCCTCTATTTAGGCACTGATTGTTTTCGTCTCTCCACTACTCATGGTTAGCCAATAACTTGCAGGCTCCAGCTAAACACAACTCCACACTTGTAGGCTGTAAGATCTAACTACAAGTCATTTCAGAGTGACGGATGTCAACTGCTGTTATGGCGCTTGGAATGTCAAGTGCACAATGGGAAGAGAGCACCGAGTCACAACGGGCATCGCTTGTCACAGCGGTTGATGATTGGTTGGAGGGATTATTTTGATGTGTAGGTGTGAATAGATTGCAATGCGTGATTCACATTGAAGTGGACTTTGATCAATGCGATCACAACGAATGGATCAGGTAGATGTTTGGTGTTGCCTGCACGAAGACATGCAAATCCACGACCGGTTTAGAACGTATTTTGGATCTCATCAGTGGGATATTAGTTGTGACCGCTACCCTAAGCCGCCACCGGGTCACGACAGGCAATAAGGATCAATGACAGCGTCGTTTGGAAGTACACGTCGTGTGAACGTATCGCGACGCGCAAATTCAAGGTGGAGCGCGATTCGCATTCAAGTGAACCTTGGGGAATTCCATCACTGAGGTCGTAACTGATGCTTGCTATCTCTACCTAGATGTGACCAAATAACTTGGAAACCTGCAGTGTTTTCGAGCTAGCAAAACCCACTATCCATCAGTTACGCTCCTAGTGGTCGAATTGACCAAATTTCACTTTATGTGAATCACGGTTCACATTGTGATTACGGGTCCCAATCCATACACACAACGTGTACTTCAAAATGACCCCTTCAATAAGACCTGTTTTGCCAGGCCATGTTGCACTGTCCATTGAGAAATGCACCTGCTATTATCATTATCATCAGTAAACATAGATAATGTGTGATGGCCAGTGGTCACATACGGCCTAGATATCACAAGGTTGGCCGCACCTAGGCCGATTCGAACCGGTGATCCCTGTGGATCAAACCTAAACGCTATCACCATCGGTCCGATGCACACGGATGGCGGAGCAGGCCGTTTCGTTGTGAGCAGCACGACGGAACTTACATCTTTGTTTGCGCAGGCATGTTGATGCACCTTGACCAGATTCTGTTTCACCATATCGATCAGGTCGATCATGTGATGTGCTTCATCCGACAAAGGGCATAGCAAAGAGAGCAGCTGGCTGAAATAATTCCAATCCAACGCTTCGCGTGTCTGTCTCACCGTGTCTGCATCCAATGATGGCAAAGCGACAGGCTCCGGGGGTTGTGATTGGACGGTGGACAAAGAGACGGTGTTTGGGGAATAGGACGAGACCAGAGCTAAAAGCTGTTCCAATCGAGAAGTCAAACTGCAACGAGAGAGCATACACAGGGGGAATAAATGTACTGAAATGGTTGATGAATTAGTGATTGCGAAAGAGGGTAATGAAAATTTAGTGGGGAATATCACTGGGGAGAACAGCAGGCGAGGACGCGCTTCTATGTAGCAATCTGCAAAAATTGAGGAAACGCCACGTTGAAGGAAGCTTAGGATCATCGGCAACAATGGTCATCAGTTGTACCATAATTGAGAGTACCTGTAGCTCAGAATGTGCACGAGTTAGGTTGTTACCTGATGACGAAACGTTAGCCACCAAAATACCCAACTCGGAGAACAGACTAATCGTCATTATTATCATTGGTAGCGGTAGTAGTACTGGTAATGATAGATATAGCCGCCCACATAAGTGAATTGATTGAGCAATCCGATCGGTTATTTCATGGTGAGAAGTAACTCAGTCAACCCAGTCCTATAAATGTAAATCGCCTATAGCAGGCGCAAAGCGGATACCGAAGCATGCAGAGATACGCCTCAGTCAGAGGGGCTGAAATTGAGGAGTAAGGCACTAAGGTGAACGACGAGAAAATGACCAGAAGGAGTTGTTGAAGGTGAAAGGAATGCACTGTGAATGATTGCTAGAAGCACAATGGTACGACTGCGCATGCCCACCAGCCGGTCCACTTTCTTCTCCACACATGCACGCGTCCCGCAGCCTGCAACTGATCGGACGAGTGTTTATCGCTAACAGAGTCAATCCCTGTGTCACAATTGTGAGACATATCTCGGATAAATTGTCACGGTTCCGTTCCTGATGTCAACTGCTACCTATAGCAAAATGCAAAAATAGAAACGACTGCCCCACTTGTTAAGCAATGAAGGTCAACGCTGCTGGAACTATAAACGGTGGATACGTTTGCAAACGTGCTGGATGTGTTGCATCGATGTGGAGGTACCCGATCTTTACAGAGGGTCATAAATTCAGTCATTTGAGAGAAGAGGACTCAGAGCGACTGGAACACTTCGGTTGCCGCTTGATCTGTGTCGTAAAAACCTGCGCTAACTGCAACATTCCAAAGGATCTAGCTGAGAGGAATACGCTTACACAACAGTTGATAACAAGTCTGGAGAACTGGGTGGAATAACATGAAAGTCACAGACATACGACGAACTAACTGATGCCGAATAGGCGCTGCACAGATGCATGAAAAACACAAGGACATGGGGTGAACACGTGCACGGAACACACAACTACCGATGTGAAAAACACAGCAGCAGGTAGGATGCAACAAGAGAGTATAGATTCTCCCGCACAAAGTGCACTGAGAGAGAGAGAGAAAATGTCAACTAAACAGTCGCCTCGTGGCGATGCCCTTACGCTCGCTTGTCCGCACACACGCACGAAACCAACCCGGTCTAAGTTGGTTTTCTAATCTTAGACTGAAAGACACGGATTGGATAGAAAGAGGATTGGCGTTACGTGCGCAGTTTAGAATCCGACTGGTAGCAACATGTCAGTCCAAGTAGACTTCTAAATAGCTTCAATTAGGATTGAAGGGATCATGTTGAAGCCCTTGTTTGTGTGTGTGTGTGTGTGTGTGTGTGTGTGTGTGCGTGTGTGTGAATAGCCATATGCGATCTCAATGTGGACCGCGATTCCCACTGAAGTGAACATTGATCAATTCGATGACGACTGGGACCGTAACTAATGAAGCAGATGGATAGTTGTTTCAGAAAGTGTTGAAAACAACCGGTTGGTATAGGTTGTGGGCAACTTTTCGCTTTTGACACAAAATCTTCGTCAGGCCGAGTGAATCGATCGAGGATAGCAGAACACAAGAGACGCATAACACGGCCACCGAGAAACGAGCGTGAATATATAGGGTTCTACTAAGAAATTTAGCAGTAGCGATGCACGCGATAGATACAGGTCATGAGATCGGCTAGTATAACATCGAAATCGTTAGAAAGGGGTTGCGATCAACGCCCCAAAGACTGACTGCTGAGGCGGTTGTGATTAGCAACGTGAACAGAATGGACGGGGTGTGATGGTAAGACACTACATTTAGATGCCCGTTGCATAGCGATCGGTCGAGCTTAACGATTTTGGGCCAACAGTCTGGAAGCGGGTCGATCGCTGCAGCGGCGAACTGAAGGTTAGCATGCAATCGATTTGGATCGACATTGAACGAAACTCGAACGCTGGCTGAGAATGTAATAGAAAGGAGATTTGTTCTGCATCTGTGAGTGATTCTAATTGACTCGAGATATAAAATGAGTTGCGTTCTATGAATAATGAATTTCTGATCGAGGCCCAGACTTGGACTTTTTCATGAACGGAGGGCCACTTTACATGGTGACAGAGGACAAGAAGACACGCCGAACCCCGCATGCGTTTGGTGGACAACCAACGATTCCGCTGCCAGCTCCGTTGCAAATGACCGAGAGTTCGTTGCCGGAAAATTGGAGAATATGGAAGGCGAAGTGGCTAGACTTTGTAACACTGACTCAGTTGGATTCTCAGCCAATGGCCTATCAACTGGCGATGTTCAGGCATGCCATTGGAGACGAAGCCAGGCGGACGCTGCAAACGTTGGATCTCAGCGATGGAACTCAGGAGATGGAGCTGGATGAAGTAATACGCAGATTCGGCGAGTTTTGCGAAGGTTACACAAACGAAACTTACCAAAGGTATCTGTTTTTCAGCCGAAATCGCCTGCCGGGTGAATCAATCGACGCATACATCACGGAGCTGAAAATTCTGGCGCGGGATTGCAATTTTTGCACCTGTTTACGAGATTCGCTGATCCGCGATCGAATTATAATTGGCATAAAGAATGAGGAACTTTCCAGACGCCTTTTGCGACAGCGAAACCTGTCTTTGGAACATTGCATCGATATCTGTTTTAGCGAATCAAGGACGGCTCAACAGTTTCAGCAGCTCAAGATGGACTCCACGACGGATCTGTTTGCAGTATCCCGAGGCCGAGAAATTGTATCGAAGTCATCGAGCGCGAATCAACCCAAATGCCAGTTTTGCGGCCGCTCACACCCAAGGCGCAAAGAGGATTGTCCAGCATGGGGCCGAACCTGTATGAAGTGTGCGAAGAAGAACCACTTTGCACGTTGTTGTCAGGCAACCAAAGTCGACTCAGTCGGGCAGGACGATCAGGAAGAGCCGCAGGAACTGGCTATTAACAACATGACAGGACGTGAGAGACCAGTCTGTGTATTCGCAACGTTGCTTATTCAAGGGCGTCCGGTGCGATTCCAATTGGATTCAGGAGCAAGCGTGAACATACTTCCTCACAAATACTGTCCCGATGCAGAATACCGCCAAATACAGACACAGCTCAGAATGTGGAACGGATCAAAGTTACAACCGAAGGGCTGCGTTACCATGAAGGCCATAAACCCGAAGGATGGCTCCGAGCATTTACTTGATTTTCTCCTGGTATCAGGAGATTTAATGCCCATCCTGGGCCTTGATTCCATTCAGAGTTTGGGTTTTGTTTCTTTTAATCATGATCGTTTTGTTCACTCGTGCGAAGTCGGTACAGAGATCGTAGACAACTATCCCAGTGTGTTTGATGGTACCGTGGGAAAATTCCAAGGCGTAGCTCACCTGTCGTTAAACGAGTCCGCCAGACCAGTAGCACTACCAGCGAGAAAAGTACCTATCGCTTTGCGTGAGAAGTTCTTAGACGAGTTGCAGCGTTTGATCAGTTTAGGTGTGATTGCCAAGGTCGATGAGCCAACCGATTGGGTCAGTCAAGTCGCGATAATCACCAAGAAGTCAGGCGATTTGCGTGTGTGCATCGACCCTAAGCCGCTCAACGCCGCACTCAGGAGAGAGTATTTTACACTACCAACGCTAGATGACGTCTTACCCGAGTTGTCCAAGGCCAGATTGTTCACGAAGGTCGACCTCGCTTCCGCTTTCTGGCACGTCCAGCTTGACGAAGAGTCCAGTTATTTAACCACGTTCGGAACGCCATTTGGACGGTTTCGGTGGTTGCGCTTACCATTCGGTTTGAAAGTGTCCAGTGAAATTTTTCAGAAACGATTAATGCAGGCCCTAGACGATCTACCCGGAGCTATTTGTGTAGCAGACGATGTAGTGGTTTTTGGGGCGACTCTGGAAGAGCACGACCGTAACCTGAGCAGATTTCTAGAACGCTGTAAAGACAAGAATATCAGATTGAAACGTGAGAAAATTGAGTTACGAAAAACAGAGCTGGTGTTCCACGGACATGTTTTGAGCGCAGAAGGTCTAAAGCCAGATCCGGAGAAAGTTAGAGCCATAAAAGAGATGCCACCTCCGACAGATGTTAAAGCCGTGAGCAGACTAAACGGGATGGTGAATTACCTCAGCCGCTTCCTTCCACGACTAGCCGAAGTAATGGTTCCTATCCGAAAACTTACACATAAGGGCGAGAGCTGGCAGTGGAACACAGAACAGGAGGAGGCTTTCCAGAACATCAAACAACTGATCGCGTGCGCCCCTGTCCTAGCGTATTACGATCCGTCACTTCCCCTTGAGATCCAGTGTGACAGCAGCCAATTCGGTATCGGTGCCGTGCTAATGCAGAACGGGAAGCCCATCGATTTTCGCAGTCGGACACTAACAGAATCCGAGCGCCGTTATGCACAGATTGAAAAGGAGATGCTAGCATTGGTTTATGCCGTAGAGCGTTTCAACGATTACACTTTTGGTCGCCGGACCACTGTATTTACCGATCACAAGCCTCTGGTATCAATAGCCAATAAACCACTGCACGTCGTCCCACGCCGCTTACAACGAATGCTCATTCGGCTCCAGAAGTACGACCTGGACATCGTCTACCAACCGGGGTCGAGGATGTACATTGCAGACACACTGTCTAGGGCATATCTTTCCGATGTGACCGCAACGCAAGAAGACCAAGACATTGTCCATGTCACTCAGCTATTGGCCGTCACAGAGGAGCGTTTCCAGCAACTACTACGCCACACGGAAGCAGACGAGCTGTGTAATCGGCTCAAGGAAAC